TTTTTTTTTTTTTTTTTTTCTTCATTTGGGCTTTTTTTGTTCACTTCCCAATCATATTACCCCACTTCCGCCTTCAGTTTTTTATTTTTCAAAATGGCAAAAATGACATTCCTTTAAGAAAGATTACCAAAAAGGAAAAAACAACAAGAAGCGATAAATGGCTTAACAGCGTGCGAAAAATGGTAACAATTCTGTGCAATATTTGTTCCACTAAAAATATAGCAGAATGGACATAAAAAAGTAATACAACGTCTGGTGCAGCGCCTGCCGCACGTCGTAAAATGACGTTTGTGCAAATTGCGCAAAGTGCATGGAGATGTTGCGGGGTGCGAAAAATGTAGGAACAGTGAAAAATTGTATTCGTTGCTCAGAATGAGCCGATTGCACAAATGTTCACGCACGCGTATTTACATATGTATGGGCACAAATGGGAATGGAAATTTCTTCAAATTTCTTTTTTTTTCGGCAAAGGTTTTGGAAAAAAAAACAAAAAAAAAAGGTAACCAAATTGAGAAAGCAACAGGAAGGCACGTGTAATGTGTGTGTTTAAGTTACATATGAACCGCGTTTACATTTTTCTACTACAATTACCAGTGTATTTCACACCAGCATTTTGAATTAAGCAAAGGAAGAAAAAGGAAACCGATTAAGCGAAATGAACCATTAAACTATAAACCTATCAAATCTATCAAACCAGTCCAACCGATCAAACAGAATAATCAAAATTGAATAGATCTCCATTCAAAGAACAGTTCCATGTTGTGCAACGTTTTACGGGAAAAATGAAAATTTACACAAAAGCCCTTCTCTTCCACTTTATAATTTTACAAGTAATTTAAAAATCCTCAATCAATCGTAAACACGTTTTCAAAATGGCAGCGCTGCGCATGTATACATATGCTTAGCTTTAATCTACATTTGACTCTTTACAAGAAAAGAAAAAAAAAAAAATTAAATGTAGACCCAATAGAGCATATTATCAATTCTTCTGCTAGTGCATACTTGCATTATTACATATCTCTGCATACGCAAATGTTTTGCATGTTGGGGCTATGTACAGAACCAAGTGCACAGTTTTACACTTAAAGAACAGTGCCCACCGCGCTGCGTCTCATTTCCACGCATTCTCGTGACAGGTGTGATAATTTGCACGGTTGTAAAGGTGCTAAAGTTGCATAGCGGTTAAGTTGTTACGCTGCTGAGCGCAACAGACGGGGCGAAATAACTCACGGCATAGCACACGACCACGTCTTACTTGCTACCCAAAATGATCTCACATACAAATGCGCACATATGTGTATATGCATACACATGTGCATATTTCCTTTTAACGTAATGGTGGCACCACCCAGTTGTACCGTTGCGCACAAATCCTTCAGCTCTTGTCCTCCGTTTTTTTTTTTTTTTTTTCGCAAAATACATTCATTATTATTCCTTCAATTATAAAAATGCCAACAGGTGTACAGCAGGAGGTATGGATTTATGAAGAACACAGCACAAAGACCTGAAATAGGCACTTTGAGAAATGTAAAGTTGTACAACAGCTACAACGCGAACCAGTTGAAACAGCACTGCGAAGTAAGGCGCACAAAAAAAAAAAATATATATATGTATACGTATAATATATATATATATATACATATATATTTTTTTGCGCACGCCGGGCGCGCCCCCTACCGCTACAGACATCGAGAGTCGTGTGCACCGGACTTGGCGTCGTAAATGGGGTTGGAATTGGACTAGAGCAATTTTGGGAGAATCTCATCTCCGGGTATAACTCGATTGACAAAATTACCAAATTTGACGTAACAGGTATGGAATGTGGCATAGGTAGCGAAATTGATGAAAAAAATTTCAACCCCTCTGATTATTACACAAACAAAAAAGATGCTAATCGGTACGATGATTGTACACACTATGCTGTAGCTGGGGCAAGATTAGCCATAGATGACGCAAAAATTGACTTACAAAAAATTGACTGCAACAGAGTTGGGACGATCATCGGAAGTGGGATCGGTGGTTTGCTTTTTCTAGAAAAGGAAATGAAAACATTTTACGAAAAAGGACATAAAAGAATAAGTCCTTATTTAATTCCAGCAATGATAGCGAATACACCAGCAGGGTTTGTATCCATGGAACATAATTTAAGAGGTATTTCACTTGGCATGTTAAGTGCCTGTGCAACCTCTGGTAACACAATTGGGGAAGCATATCGTTATATTAAGTATAAAGAATACGATGTGATGATTTGTGGAGGAAGTGAGGCAAGCATTACTCCTATAAGTTTTGCCGGATTTAACGCATTAAGGGCATTATGTAGGGGATATAATGACAACCCTAAAAAAGGGTGTAGACCGTTTGACTTGAAGAGAAGCGGTTTTGTCATGGGAGAAGGGGCTGGAATTTTAATTTTAGAGTCTTATGAACATGCACTTAGGAGGAATGCTAAAATATATGGAGAAATTTTAGCATACTCTTCCGAAAGCGATGCATTTCATATTACATCCCCAGAACCAAGTGGACGAGGACTCTGCAATTCTATCAACAAGGCTATAAAAAATGCAAATATAGACATATCGGATGTTAAGTATGTGAATGCACACGGAACTTCTACCAACTTGAATGACAAAATTGAAACAAAGGTATTAAAAACAGTGTTTAAGGATCACGCGTATAAGTTGCATATATCTTCTACTAAAAGTATGACTGGTCATTGCATAGGAGCTGCAGGCGCAATTGAATCCATCGTATGTTTGAAAGCAATGCAAACAAATATTGTTCCTCCCACCATTAATTACGAGAACAAGGATGAGCAGTGCGATTTGAATTATACACCAAATAAGAGTTTACACGCGAAGGAAAATATAGACATTTCGTTAAATACCAATTTAGGATTTGGTGGACACAACACTGCTCTGTTGTTTGGGAAAATTACAAAATGAGGTAGCTAGTCCATGCAGCTACACAATATGATGCCTGTACCAAGTGTGTTTTTCTTTTTTCTTTTTTTTAACACAGTACAGTATGCAGCGCGGAGGGGTTTTCCTCTTCATGTGGCACTTGCCTAGGCAGCTATCCCAATGCCCTATGGCCAAGGGGATTTCCCACATGGGTTATTAGCGACGTGCCATCTTAGTCACCCTACACTTATTTACTGCACGTATGTATGCACGTAAAATGTAACACTAATGTCAAACTTGTTGTAAATTTTTTTTTTAAAAATAATGCTCGCACTTATGCCTCCTTCGTTTATTTATATATATATATATATATTATTTTTTTTTTGGCAATGCATTTATAAATACACAGTTTGCCTATCAGTTGTGATGTAACCACAATTTGCACAGGAGAATCATATCTGGGGATTTGTGTTCGTTTTTTTTTATTTTTCACTTTACATCATAAGTAGGATTGGGGGCACTGCCATATAAAACAACGCAAAAAAGAAAACAAAAAAAAACAAGGCCTTCACACCCTAACGAGACCGCCACGTAGTAGCGGGATAGTTGCCATGTATTTGTGAGGCAAAACATTTGGGTGATTCGTATTCTTCTTTATAATTTTTTTTTTTTTTTTTGTTTTTTGACGTCCCCTTGTTAACTTTAAAAGAAACCGCTGAGGAGAACATTCAGCGAAGTGAAGAACATTTTAACCGCCCTGCAGTGAGAGATGAATTCTCGCGCCGGCGACAGCAGTTCCCGACAATTGTCAAAACAGTGAAAGTTTCTTTTGTTTTGTTTTTTTGTAGGCGCATTACTATACTATCTTTTTGTCATGAATAACGAAAAGTTCTACCTTCACGTTGTTGTGAAGTTAGCCATATGTTTGTTTATCCCTTAAGAAAATACATATAGTGGTACCTCGAAGGGGAAGATATATATATTTTTTTTTTTGCTGCAAGTCAGGGTTATTTCCATTTTTGCAACGCGTTCATGCCTGTTTGCTGACACACCCAATTGTGGATGTCCAGGGCTGGAGAAAAACGAGTACACATTTTTGTGATGCACACATTGTGTGAGGGGGGGGAGGGTTCCAGGTATACTGTATGACTCACCCATTGTGTGAGTGTTTGTCTCGCAGCAGAGTTACGTGAAGTAGTAAAAGGCGTGAGGGGCGCACTGAGCAGAAGCACGTGTTCAGTCCCCCTCCCTTACCCCGCCTGAGCAACGTGCGACATCCGTGAATCACCGTGAAGGAAAAAATGAAAAAAATAAAATTAAACATAACGCGGGAAGAGCACAACTTACAGAGTAATATATACTATGTGTGCGAGAAGAATATACTAATTTCACAGCTCAATCTTACCATCAGCTATGACGAAAATAATATGGACGAAGATGAAATTGTTGAGCACAGTAAAGATACCATCAATAACAATAGCAATGTTAAAACGGCAAAACAACAAAAATGGATTAACATAAAGATATCATATAGCGATGAGCTAAATAACTTATACCTAAACAATGTGATAAATAATTTGTATGATTACATTTTTGAAAGCAAAGGGAATAATTTTAGCATATATAAGAACGACCGTTGGCAGATTTTTATAAATATTTACATTTATGAGTATACGCCATTTATATATGACCATATTTGCAATGTGATTAATGTGCACCTGTCTCTTTTGCTAATCCCATTTTGCTTCTACGACTTTGATGAGAAATGGTACAGGTGTGTTCAGAATTATGAGGAGTTGGGGCGGCTTTTGTCAGGCGGAAGTCCTTTATGTGACCCTGAGGACAAAGGAGGAGAAGCCTCGACGGACATCATAATTTTAGATAGAAACGAACAAAACAAAAAAATAATAATAAACCAACTGGAAAATAACAATTTTGATTTGTTTGTTGAGAAAAAAAAAGGAGAGACCGCAGAAGGGCTGTTCAAAAGAGTGCTCATAAAGTACATCCCATTTGTGCGAACAGCAAATGTAGATGACCAACTTGTGTACGTAATTAAATTTGTGGAGTATGAAGACTTTCTCCTACGAACACAAAGCACAGATGATAATATTTACAATAGTATAGTTGAGAAGCATTCCTTCTGCAACTTTACAAAAAAGACATCATTTGATAAATTGCCCTGTGCAAGTAATGCTGACAAATTTGACCCACATGAAAATTATTACATCCTCTTTAATGCGAATACTGCGACTGTTGACGAAAACAGCATTTTGGAAAACTCCAAGGAGACCATCCAGTTTTATTACGATTTCATTGTCAATTACTGCACCAATTATTTCTCTGCACATTTTGTGAAGTGAGAAGCAGCAGCCCCGATCATTTCCACAGCAGGTATAACAAAATGACTTAATAAATGGGGTCAGTTTTCTTGTTAATTCCTTGGCCCCCTTCATCCTCCCCTATTTGAGAGCAATTTTTCTGAGAAGCTCCAGAGTTCCTGCGCGGGGTGTGCACGATGTGCAGGCATTTCAATGTGTGCACATTGTAAGAAATAAGGGCAGTGTGCGCGCGCACATATGCGAATGTAGGTGGGTAAAGGTGAATATCTGCCTTCGCAAGTCAGATCACATGTCTTTGTTGAAGGGGCCACCAGCCGCCCCTAACCATCACACTTATGTTTTTAATGTTTCCAACCATTTTGCGTCACCGACGATTTAACAAATCAACTGCTTTTCGTGGCAAACAAATATCAGCATAAATTGCGATCTTAATTTGGGCATCTACCTCGGACTTCTTTAGATCCCGCGCATAGCTCCTGACATAGTCCACTTTGCAGTCGGAGTAGTAGGAGCCCTTGGCCAGCATCCCTCTATCTACAAGGCACACATATCTACGGGCATTGATGGGTCAACGGGGAAAAGAATAAAAAATGAATAAAATTTACACAGATGAATGCATATATAGCCGCATGAACACCTTCTATCTTATATGCCCATAACTGTGCTCCCATCGCGAGGAAACACAAGAAAATGCTCGCGCACGTGGTCCTCTCCACGTGCAACACAAACTCACAGAATGGTCTGGGCGCCTTGCAGGGGGGATTTAGAGAAAATTAAATTTTTGGCCATTGCCCTGAACCAGCATTCTTCGTTTCGAAAAAGTTCAGTGCGCACCAGTCCCGGGTTAATGGACACGGTGCACGCCTTGGTTTGTTCGTTCTCAAATCTGGGGGGCAAGCGAGGTGGGAAAAATGGGGATACGCACGGAAACATATACATAAATATATATATATGTACTTGTGTGTACTTATCTGAGGGCGCGCTTTGTCCATTCGTGCTATACCACAGACATTGCACAACGCACAGTAGGCCCTTTCTATTTTTACCTCCTCTGCAACTGCTGCGTGTAGTAAAGCATGCAGAGCTTGGAAAAGTTATACTCCCGTCGGTATAGCAAATTCGAGTTGGTATTCTTGTTGGAGCTTTTGTCACATATAAAATCGTAGTTTACATCCTGCAGTGCGGTGAATGGGTGTGCCGAGCAGTGGGTACTTTTCCCGTGGGTGGGGGGCACTTTTCTCACGTATTCTTTTTTTTTTCCATTCCTAATTGTGTCAAAAAGAATATAGTACATACCGATTCTTGTAACATACTATGCGCTATGCTACTCAGATTTACAACCAGCGTGTCTGATGCTACGATTCGCTTGTGAAGTAATTTGGTTAAGTAGAAGTGGCCCAGGTAGTTAACGAAGAAGGTCCTTTCCACCCCATTTATGTACTCAAGCTTTCTATTCACAATTCCTGCGATTATATATAATGGATGTTAATGGGGGTTATGTTAAGACAGTGATGATACTGAGTGGGCATGGGTGCCTGTCAACCACATGGGGAAGGCGCCGCACAATTGCTGAAAGCCGCAAATGATCCGGAAGAAAAAAAAAAACAAAAAGAAAGATAATAATAACTTTACCCGCGTTGTTGACAAGTATATCTATTTTGGGGAATTTGCTGAGTATCTGATTGGCACAGCTTTCTACGCTTTTGTAACTTGCCAAGTCAAGTTGTACACAGTGGATCTTGGCGCTGCGTGTGGGCGGAGGGGTGGGTGTGCATGCGCAGCTGTTCACGTAAAGCGGTTCATGTGCCTCTAATCACATGCTGCTTTCCCCACACGGCTCATTTTCTTACTCGGGATATCTGGTCAACAAGTCTGTCTTCACAAATTCCATGTGTTCTACCGATCGGCAGGCCAAAACTACTTCGCACCCGAACTTCACGAATTCGATTACGGCAGCTAGCCCGATTCCTTTATACCCCCCTGCAAAAAAAAAAAAAAAAAAAAAAAAAAAACAAAAAACAATGGGCAGCAACAAAATAATCAAAAAAGAAAAAGTGCACACCACGCAAAGGGGATGCTCTCTTTTACTAACACAGACGCGATAACAAATGGTGTAGGGACTACGGGATCGTAAAACGATCCAATTAATGGTAATCACGTACCCGTCACAATAACGCACTTTCCTCTTAACAAATGCGCATTTTTCATCACGGATTTTGAAGTACCACCAATGTTCGTGACGCACAAAAGATAGTAGTAAGTGACAATGACTGAGATGTTGGTAATGTATTCGTAAATTTTATCATCTCTTGAAGACAAGTTTGAGTGCTTTTCTTGAAGAACATAGATTAGCACTTTATAGAGCGGTAAACACCTGCATATAGAGGGGAGGCAGCAACATGGCACATTGAACACCGGTGGAGATGTGTGTGTAGGGATATATTGTAGGTAGTTACTCGTACACATGTGCACAGTTATTACGTGTACATATATAAACACACGTGTGTTTTAAGACACGACACCACATAGGTTGGTGCTTGGCGAGATGACATGCAAAATATGCATTACCATATTACTCCTGAGACTAGGATAAAAATGAGGAACCGTTTCAATGAGGGATCAGTCAGAATAACCCCCAGAAATGATCTCGCTTTGTTTTTCACTTCCATTTTTTTTTTTGTTTTTTTCTTTCGTAATTCGTGTGTTATGCCTTTAGTCAAAAATGAGCTCAGGTGAGGACCTTCCAAATGTATGTTACGCGCGCATATTATATCATTTCAAAAAAAAAAAAAAAAAAAAATTGACTATTGCAGTGGAGCTGCTTAGCACTAACTGGAAAACCTTTTTATGGATTGCATCTTGGGGGACTTATATTAGCAACACGAAAAAAAAAAAAACATTCCAACCTCTACGCAGGAGGGGGGTGTGCGGGTGTACATGTGGAACGGGCACAAGCCAAGTGCGCACATCACGTATGCAGCATAGGCTTCGCAAATACCTGACTGTGGAGACTGTGGATTGGGGTTAAGGTGTTGAATCTATTCAGAAAAAAAAAACAAAAAAACGGTTGCATCATTTTGCTACTTTCTTTTGCCTGTTTGTTCTTTTTCCTGCACACATGATGTAGAACAATGTTAAAGGGTGCTGTGTTATGCGGCGGGCATGTTGCTCAATGAGCCGGTGTGTATACATACATGTACATATGTACATGTGAGCATTGTACATTCCTTCCTAAGTATAATTCCCACCACAACATTGTCGCAACCATTTTTTTTTTTTCTCGTCCTGGTGCATCTGCATTATTTTTGCTCTAGATAACATAGGTGCATATAAGTGAGCTGCTATAATCAGAGAAAACTTTTTTTTCGTCGTTTTGCCCTTGCAAAAATGTATGTAAAGCACGACATGTACGTGATTAAGCTTTTTAACTCTTTTTTTGTTTTTTTGTTTTTCTCAGGGTAGAGGCCGCGCACACCATCGCTATGCTTGTGCTGATTTGTTTTTTTTTTTTTTTTTTTTTTTTGTTTTTTTTCTCTCTCTGAAGTGTGAAGTACCTTTTTGCAATTGCGTTTATTCGCTCGCCCCCCAATTTTGAACGCCCACCCAGATGATTCCTTGAGTATTTTTTGCATTCATATTTCTATGCACTTGATTCGCGAGCTGACGATTTAAACAAATGACCAAGTGACCGAATGACCAAATGACGAGTTCAGGAGTTGATCAATTAACTAATTTGAATAATTAACTAATTCATTGTTTTTTTATTTTAATTTCTTTTCTACATTTATTGTCGCGTTATTTATGTCATTGCGTTTTGCGTACCTGTGTACCTTGTTTTTTCACAATTTTTACCGTGTTTATCTGTATAGATTTTTTTTTTTTTTTTTTTTTACCTCCACCCCGTTGCTTGTTACCTGTGACATCTTCCCGTTTGCTTCCTGCCCCTTTTCTTGTTCTCTCAAGCACGCAGTTTTGTCCCTCTGCCACGCGAACCATGTAATCATCCTGCGCCCGCTTCTCTCACGCTAGTAACTCCTCATCAATTTAAAAGCCAAAACTGAACATCTTTGCTAGCGCAATGTATTTATATATGCGTATACATACTTTAAAACAAAAAACATAAACCCAGTTGCAGCTTTTTTTTTTCTTCACGCACGTAATGAACGACTCCTACATGTGACCTTGTAACCGTCCACACCGCTGCCACCTAACACACATAAGTGTTTCCTATGCATTTTGTACATTCCTGCACCGTTATATGCGTTTGGATTCACCAGCCTAATTGTTTACTTGAATAATTTTTGAATCCAATTTAAAGTTTATTCATTGGAGAGAAGTCTTAGCGTCCATTGTGTGGCACCACATCCTCCAGCTTCTACAACAATAATTTGTGCCGCGTGTAACCCCCATTCTTTGCAAGATGAATTCGAAGATATTGGAGGTGCTGAACCTGATCGACGAGAAGTCGTTCAAGAAATGCGAAAAGGTAATAGCAGCTGGGCTGAAGTCAAAGAAGAACGAGAAACTGTACCTTCTGTTGAAATGTCTTCTCCATTCACACGTGAACGAGATAGACGAGTGTAAACAGATTTTGGAAACACTAGAAGTAGATGACTCCGATGAAAATGTGTTTTATATATTAAGAACCATATACACAAATTTGAATGAGGGTGGAAAGTTAATCCATTTGTATGAGGAGAAAATAAAGAAGGCAGAATCGGGTAAGAAGGGCCTGAGCATCATCAATGGAAGCATCGGTAACGTTGGCAGTGCCAGCAGCAACAGCCTCAGTACATTGGTGAACAATAACAATTTGAGAGTTGCGCAAAAAGAAAAAGTGGACGTGGAGATGATTATAAGGAACCTTTTGGATTATTGCCTAAATACGAGTTTTTTCAAAAAAGGAAGTAATTTGTCCTTAAAATTGTATAAGCAGACAAATGATTCAAAGTATCTCCTGTACAATAGCTACCTCATCTACATGAACAACTCGAACAACAACGCACTAGTCTACAACTTGGCACTCAGCTTTTTAAAAAATTATAAATGTTACAGTAACAATAAAGTCACAGAGAATTTTTCTTTTTTTTTAGTGTTTTTTTTTATTAACATAAAATTGAGAAATTATGAAGAGTGCATGAAGATATTGGAATACGCCAAGAGCAATAATTTTTTTCTCAACCCATTACAGTACCAGGTGTACAAATTGTACATACAATTTATTTTCAACAAGCTAGAGAATTGTATTGACATTTTAAAAGGACTAATAAAGGAGCTCCCAGAAAACAGCGACTACTACATCCTCTACATTGACCTCATCATTTATTTGCTAAGCAAACATAACCCAGATATGAAGGTTGAGAATATTTTTAATCTGTACAAAAACGATTTGATGTACTTGGAATTTTTTCAAAAATGTTTCATACACATGTGTGTTCAGAAAGTTAAGGCATTCCCCGAGAATATTTGTACCTTTTGGAATTGCATAGAAAAGGAGGGGGGACATGGGTCTGGGGGTTCCCACAGCTACTACAAAGAGGTGATGAATTTTGTTCTTTCTATAGACCAGATGAGTATCAGCACGAGGAACCAGGTGGGAAGTGGACAAAACGAGATGGAAGGTAGTTGTGCAGATGGGGACAGTGGCCCGAACGATGTCGGAAGTGACAATAGTGATGCAGGAAGTAGTCATCACGAAGGGGTAAGCAAACGAAAGGCTAAACAGGACTTCCGCACCCCCTTCGAAGGCATAATGAAAAAATTGGAGAACCTAACAGAGGATTACAAAAAGGACGTTCTCAAGATATACAAGCAGCACGATGTAAAGGTGTACTTGTACATGCTACTCTCCTTTATACTAAAAGAAAGCAGAAATTATAATATGTTTTACTCAATTAAAAATCACCTTAGTCTTCTAAAAGACGACATGATAGCTATCCTCATCGTGTTCGCAAAAATCATTTTGAAAAAACTGTACGTAGCAATTAGCACCGAAATGAAGACCTTATCCATGGGAAACTTCCCTCAAAACGAATTGAACAAAGAAATACAAAAGAATATTTTATTGTTCTACAAGCAGATTTACAACTTTGAAAAACTCCTTTATGTGTTGTACAAAAAGGATGTGCACGAATCCTTTAATCGAGTTTTTTCAATGTTTATTCAAGTGACCAATAATATGGATTTAAGACTTCGCGATGATAACTTCGTTGTGCTGTTGGTCGAAATGGCTTTATACCTAGACAAGTACAACCTCTGTCAGCCTGAGCAGAAGAGCAGCTTTGACGAAGCTGTGACGCACATGCACAATTTGGTGAACAGCAAATGTGACGGGTTGAACCTCGGAGGATGCAAAAGCGTCGATGAGTTTCTAGGCCCCATTGGATCCTACCAGTGTGCAGTAGTGGAGGGTCAACAAGGTTCCAATGCGACGAATGGAGGAAGTACAGGGAAAGAAATCAACCCAGAAGCGTACCACATCCCGAATGTCCAAAATAGGAGCACCACCATTTTTGACATCAATGGTGCAGAGAATAAGGACAGGGACATCCAGTTAACCAACAGGGGGTATTACATTGCCGCCCTTAGTGTTCTAAAGTACTCATACAATTATCGCATCCGCATGACGGAGAAGGAGAATGAAGAGAAGAAAGTGAAACCCATTCTAAACAACGACTACATAAATGTTCTTGTCCTGATGATTTACCTCAACAACGTGATCGGAAATTTCACTAATTTTTCAGGTCTAATTGATAAGCTCAACATAAAGAACATCCAGTTAATCACGTACTCACCCATTTTGTTCATACACACATATGGCTATTCCTACTTTAAATATGCTGAGAATTTGCTAAAAAATATTTTGAACTATTACAATGTACAGCAGGGAAATCTGAAGAGCTCAATCTCCAAGTGCTTTCAAAATAATTCTGTGTTTAAGGTGAACGAAATTGTAAATGCATATTTTTTGAATTCCTCGAATATCATTTTTTATTTTATTAAGTTGTTATACATTTATAAGAAGCAGCTGGAGGCAGCGAGGGGTGGTTTCCACTTCAACATGTTTGGAAGTGTGCAAAAGGACTACGCGATTCATAATGAGTACTGCACGAAGTTTCCCCCCATGAAGGAAATTTCCAATGGAAAGATCAGAAGTGATAAACCAAGTGGAACGAAGAAGTCGGTAAAAGGAGAAACAGCAGGTGCTAAGAAGGAGGCCACCAACGCCAGCAGCACGAAGGGAGTTCCTAACAATGATGGTCATAGCAACGCCTCCATGAGCAACCTACCCATTAGTAACGAATTCTTGAATATGCTAAAACGATTAAATGAAGACATACTGCAGGAGGAGCAGGACTTTAAGAGCAACTACTCCAAGTTGATGTTAGACAAGTTTAACTTCCTCACGATAGACAACCAAACCATTCTAATAAAATATAACGTGCCCTCTTTCCGGTTCACCCTGTACAAATCATATGACAGCTTTTTTTACAATCACATTCTGTACGAGACTTTGAACCCGCTGGAAGAGTTTCAATTCCTCAAGGACATTAAAATTTTAAACACAACCGAAGCGAATAGTGTTAATCTACTTAAAGACATAAAGACGGTGTACCCAATGATATTGCTGTCCAACTTTTACAATTTAAAGGGTAGCGTTTATATAACTAGCCATGAAAATATACTTGGTTGTAAAAACATGGGGGATGTCCTTCACCATAGTGATAAAAGCGTTTCACAGGAATGTGCGCAGAGTATCAATGAAGTGCCTTTTGACAAAATCAAAGAGCATGCGAGCTACAGCATCAGCGACCATGAAATTAACTTCTTCATAAGCAACAACATTTATGTAAGCTTCGATAAGGATAATTACAACTACCACAATAAGTATATCTTCAAATCGAACAAACCCACTTTCCAATTTAATCAGAATTCCCTCTCTTCGCCTTTCAACATTTGCCTAACCGAGCTGTTCAACTACCCCATCCAAACGCTCTATCTAAATGCAGTTATTCTAAATACAGTCATGTATTTGTTTCATAAATCCTTTTATTACTTCACCATCACGGATGAAGCTAAGAAGATGAAAATGATTAGTAAGGCCAAATGTGCCTTCCTCTATCTAACCTATATTGTCTCCTATTATCAATTAACAGAGGGAATAACCAATGCGGACATTCTTTATATGCAAAAGGAATTAGATGACTTCACCGCAGAGGCAGACATGTCCCATCTGAAGAGAGAAAACGACCATGTGAAGAATAATAAGGGGGCAATTCCCAACCAAATTACCCCATCAGTCGAATGTGCTATGCGTAATGATAAAAAGACAACGGGTAAAAATTACATCCCAATAGATCCCGTCTTCAAAAAGAAATATGGACAAGATGTTTTCAAAAGGTATGAAATTATACAGGCCGCGTACCACAATGACATGTATAGCAAAACCGCCGCCCTGCATTATAAAAGTCTATTACTAAATTTAAATATGTACATAAGAATCCTTGCTGGAGATAGTAACGTGCAGGAATTCACCAACAAGCTACAATTCTTGGACAACATAATTTACCTCAATATTTCCAACGAATTAAATGTCTTCAAGCAAATTTTAGAAAACGATGACACGTACCAGATTATAAACATGTCCTGTTTGTTCAAGCAGTACAACTATCTTGTGCACAACATTACCGTCTTGACCTTAATAATTCAGTCCATTTACAATCATGGTAGGAAGAATGTTTGCAGTGAGAATAACATGCTTATCAAAAGTTACCTCATGAAGAAGGTTGCATTATTGTGCGACGTGAATAAAAACTTGCTTTCTCTTTCTGATGTGCTAGACAATTACAAGCCTGTGAAAGCATCTGAGGTTTTGGAAAAGTTCGAACTCGAGTTAGCTGGCGAAATCGCCGCCTCATGCAAGCAGCATGTTTTGAATTTGTACAATTTGTTTAACGGCAAGATGCTCATTATCAAGTCATACTTGTGATGCGTCCAACTGCAGCGGTGAAGAAGAGGGGCAACAATGCTAATCAGCGCGGTGCTTGACGTATTAATCAACCTCGTAGCCGATGTCCCATGTTTGCCACCCTTCCATGTCCACCCTTTGAATAACCTCCTGCGTCCCGCAACCGCGGCAAATACGTAGACAGTTTTTTTTTTGTGCACATGCGTGATTGACCTTGTTCCATTTTTAATTAACCATCTTGTATCTCTCAAATTAATAAAAAAAAAAAAAAAAAAAAAAACACCATTTTCGACGCAACCTTGGGGACTCGCCATAGTTATTACGAATCCGCCCATTTTAATTAAGAACACTTTTTAAAGCATTTAAGAACTTTTATTTTTATGTCAACCTGAAGTTTTGTATACCAAAAGAGTGTTCAGCTCCGTCACCTGCCTGCACACGTGTTAATCGTAATGGCGTCGTGACTACTTAGGCTATAATTATCATGGTTCCCATTCTACAGTTCTATGGAGATGCAGAATTGGACGTGTTACTACAAAATTCTGATCCCGTAAAGTAATACAAGAGGCAGATTAGCTTGCAAAAAATGGATATGTTAAGGCGCATTTATGCAGCAGGTTAGGCCTTTTTCATAAAAATGGGGCAACAGGTGAAACACGCGCAAGAATGAAGGCCCCCACATGGGTGGAGTCATAGCGCGAACTGAGATGCCAAATGGTACAAAATGGGTACACACAATGCACGCAAAAACAAAGTAAAAATTTGGAAAAAAAAGTTAAGTGCATAGAAACACTGTAAATAGAAGTATGAATCACTTTAATTTCACCCCTGGATGTACTCCTTTAGGGGGGGAAGAACCTTGTTAGTGACAAATATTAACTGTATAAAAAAAAGGAAGCATATCATGCGAAACAAGTTTGAATGACACAGGGGGGCAGGTACTTCCACGGGGCGATCTTTAAACGCTAAAATGACAGACCGTTGGTTCGTTTAAGCCCCCGTTGACGTACACTCCTTCCAGCCGTTGGATGCACTTACCGCCGAACTCGTCACGTGGTCAACGTTAAGAACATCACGTAGGTGAAGTACTCACATATGTTATCCACGAGACCGATCCCTGCGAGAAGAGAGAGGAAAAGAAGGGAAACACATGTGCAGACGGAGATTCGTGTAGGATATGTAAGCATGGAAATTACACACGAAATGTCTAAACAAATAATTATGAAGGGTATCAATTTGGGAGTTTTGTTTCTCCCATTATGGAGACCATCTTTAACCCTCCGTAGGTGGCCAACCTGTTTCTGCCTCATCCATGGACTCTTCCTCTTGCTCGAAAAGCTCAAATCTTTTAAAGAAGGTCTCACTATGTTTAGACAACACATCATCATACCTCACGATATTCTTTTCCATGTTTATCTTTTTATTTAATACGTTCGTCATAAAATATGAAGTGGCTTCACTTGCCCCATCGTATAATGTTTTCAATTTTGTGAAATTCTCATACACATCATCTTGATCATATGTGGCTGTTTTCTTCTTTTTGCTTTTTTTTTTTGACCATTTGGGGTTGTTCCTTTTTTTGCTAATCTGATCGCAGCGTTGGTCTGCTTCGATATTATTTTTCGTTGGGGTCTCGAACCGATCCGACTCATTCGCATGGTTTAATAATTTATTTACATGTTCGGATAGTTCCTGTTTTGCTTCTCTACTTATTTGAAAAAATTTTTCGCACGAATCATCTGCTTTATAAGAATCCGCCGAAGCTATGCTATTTGTCATACTTGTGTTTTTACTTGAGAGACCAGCTCCGTCTGTAACGTGCACCTTATCGTGCAGATAACTTGCACATCGCAGCCGTGTGTGCTTTTCACTGCTTCGAAATGGGGTTTGTTCTTCACTCATACTGTGGTTGTCTTCGAAATGGGACTTGGACCATGGTGTTTTTTTTATTCTGTTACTTGAAAGTGTTGACCTTATCAATGGCTCATTTAACACCAACGTTTGATCATCATTCGTTTTCTGCCCTACGGCACATTTCGAGTTATTTTCCCCATGCGGAAGATAATCTCTACTGCTATTAAATTTACCCATTTGTTCGTGTAAAATGTGTTTTCGAAATTAATTCACAAGTGATGTTCTTTCAGACATTCAGCAAAAGGCGTATTCTGAGAAGCTTGCACATGAAGATATATATTTTTTTTTTTATCCATACGTGTACGGTGAATCAGTATTTCTCTTATTTTGATCGAATTAATTATCCCTTGAAATTGTCTTTTTCCGTCTCACTGGAAATAAATATGCACTCATGGATTATGCGGAGAATTACTCAAAAAGAAGGGAACAAATGAGGGCAAAGAAAGGAAAAGGCAAAATGAAAACAAAAAAGAGAAAAAAATGTTCTCCTCATGGTAAGCATTCTGCAGAGTTTGACACTTTTGGAACAGCAGATGATTCAATTCGAGCATGCCTTATGAGAGCAATGAGGATTATAATTTTTTGAGACTTGTTCTGGGGAGCGTTGCCAGCAAATGATGAAGCGCTTTGAGTGCGTCCAAAAGTTTTTTTTTTTTTTTTTTTTTTTTTTTTTTTTACAACTCCCCCCTCGACGACCGTCCCCATGACTAAGAAGTGAAAAAAATTTTAACAAATTGACAAGAGCTGTATATCAATTTAAATATTCAAACGCTTCCCCTGAGTAGAGACAAGGCGAATGTGTGCAACATGTCTTTCTTTCCTATTTCTTTCTTTTATATTGGGCGAAATGACCCACTTATGCTTAAATATGCATAGTTCTACTATCCTGTTGTTCGCTATTGCGAGGAATTTTTTTTATTAATAACGCTGTTGTTTGGTATGAATGTTCAGAATTTTTTTTTTTTTTTTCCATAAATTTTGAGAAAACTTTGCTAAAATTGTCATTTTTGTATGAGCGTTCATAACATTTCTGTTCTCCATGTTTTGTCCACCTTTCAACTTTGTCTACATAAACTGGTGCGAACAGATGAAAATGTTTAAGGGAAGCACTAAATTATGTAATGCTGGAGACAGCGCAAAGGCGAAGTAGAAAAATGGTAGTCATATCTTTGTCTGAATACGTGCATGGGGAATAGGGCACCATCGCACAACATTGGGTGGTGGGAAACACAAGGGCAAGTCTCAACCCCTGCTGCTGGAAACTTAAACATTACCAAAAAGTGAGTTTACAGTTATAGCTTCATTTTTCTACGAAATGTTAAAAATATCAACACACAGAAAAATATAGCAATAGACGTAAACATAGCACCAACCCGAAAGAAACGAAATAAATAACGGAAGAGTGCACAGTTGATACGAAATTGTGCGTTGATAAAAAATTAACAAAAAAAAGGAAGCATATGCATAGGACAGGAAAAAATATATACCGGTGTGGGCGAAATGAAACAAGTTGCATTTCACAAAGGCGTTACTTCGTATCTGCTAGAAAGGAACAAAAGTTGGGCTCAGTGCCCCAGTTTTAGGATGTTAAGAAAGACGTGGGTTACGCTATGCTAGCATTGTTCCTTGATCATTTGAGTGACCTCCACTGTCTCAATAAGGATTATGATTAAAAATTTTGTTAAAATGAGCAGCATGTACTTATGTACACATAATTCAATAAAAGGAAACCTTTTGTTTGTTTGTCAGATGTGTACTAATCAATGTGGTACCCATTAATTAGAATCTGTACTGTTGAGATCAAGGCAGAATGGGAAATGCGCAATTTTGCTATGTAACATCAACTTTATGTTGGTTGAGGTGTACAGGCTGAAACATATCACTCTTTTCCTTTTTTTTTTTGTTTCTTTTGTCCTTCCTATTGATGAACTTAAACCGTTACTGACAATTGCCCCCTTTATGTTACCCTGAGCAGTTCATCATCGGAGGCATTGATTTGTGCAGTTCTTTTTGTCTCAGTCCGTTATATGTGATACTTCTGTGCGGCTTGGCCGAGTATGCAAAAGATGCACATACGGACGCGCCCCGCTGTACGCCACGGGATACTTATGCCCGCGCACCCCTTGGAAGGAAAGGAAAAAACAAAAAAAAAAAACAAAAAAAATACTTCACGTGTTTGCATATTTGAAAATAGGTACATTTGGCGTTTCTACTTATGCGTTAGAAAGTAACCATAAGCATACTATTTGTGTCAATTCTGCCAAAATTGCCAATTTTTGTTTTTTTTTTTTTTTGTTAAGCCAAATTAGGAAGCTTCCTGTTGCACACCAAAACAACCCTCTGATCACGTTATAAGTTGAGAACTCACCTGGAAGAGCTCAACGTAAAAGCGCCTATTCAAAGGAACATCCTCAAACATATAAATGCGTACGCACATACTCGCATAGGCCCATAGGTTCCCTATCAAGGAGCAGCGTACACGAGGAAGGGCTATTTACCATCTGACAGGTCACGCAAGAAAAGAAAACCGAAAATAAAAATGGGGAAGATAAGCATAAAGGACTACGGAAACATGTGCAAGTGGTTTAAAAGACTGAGCAACAAGAAGTCCATGCCATTGCTACCGGAGAAAAAGGAAGAGAGACTGAAAAAATTTACAAACTGTTCCCTATACCATATAATGGAAAAGTATGAGTTCGTTCCCAACCTACTCCTACAGACGGAGTATATGTACCCACTTCTGCAAAAGAGCCCCGAGGCTCTGCGCCAGTCCTACTTTAACCACTACAAGCTTTCGAACGAGGGCAACCAGGCGAAGTAGTGACAGTCGCGGCAGAGGTGGATGAGCAAAGTAGGCTGACAGGCAGCCTGCCGTTGATCGTTACCCCCCGTAAATACGGCACATGGTAAGAAGAGCTGTGCAAGGGATGTGTTTTCCTCCCGATGAGGTTAGAGCACACTGCTCAATAATCGTTTCATCTATTTTGGTGGATTTGCGTTTTGCGTTTGTTTTTTTTACAACCTTGTACAGCATGTGCATATTATTCTTGCCAAGCAGTGCCATCACCTGCATGGCGCAGTTGTCCAAGTTTGCACTTTTTTTTTTGGTATAAATGCAAAATGCAGCATGTCCCTCAACCATTTTACCAACTTTTACTGACACTAGATTAACCGTTTTAGAGGCTAAAATGGTCAGCGAGGTTTGAATATACGCCTGTGCGCAAAAAAAAAAAAAAAAAAAAAAGAAACTGCATAAGCATATACATGGAAAAATTTAAAAATTCACGCGTTATTCGTGTGTTCATGCTAGGCTCATTCGATGCATAAATTTGATGTGGGAAGCTGACGGGGTAGAATTAATAAACACACGAATGACACACTAACTACTACTACAGCAGGGGTAAACAAATGGCCCCCTATGCGCTACTGCAAAAAGGCGGCAATATCTGAACTTCCAAGTTGACCATCAGCAGCCACACACATGTGCGTGCATGGCACGGCGATTTACCCCGGTTAACTGCACCTCCGTAGTTGTGCACATGCCGATTTGTGCCCATAGTTTTGGGCTTGAGAAAAAAAGGAAATAACAAATTAAAAAATAAAAAAGAATGGAGGACTCCGTCTCCATTGTGACGTTGCGGTGCATCAGCGAAGTTGCCACATAAGCAGTGACTCACGTCAGATGTTCCTACACATCGCTTACCACTTCACCGCTACACTTCTGCGTCCTCTGCAGGCGACCCATTCTCGTCTGCGGGCTTGTCGTCTGTACCCGGTTCCTTCCCCTGCTGGCCGTCTACGCCGGACGCGACGCTGGCCAGGAACTCCAAAACTTGCGACTTCTTCTGGTAACTTATATTAATTTTGTACGAATTGGGGTACTTGCTTTTTTGTGGCCAATTAAGAACTATGTAGATAAAATCTCGGATGGCGTAGGACAAATTGAATGTATTGTCGTAAACATGTTTTAAAAAAAACACAAGTGCTATGAAGAAGGAGGAGCAGTATTGAAACTTGTCCTTCTTATAAACGTAGAATTTGGGATGGGGTCTTATTTTGAGTTCGTTAATGGTTTCCAATTTTTTGAATAGCAGCCTGATTTTACTTTCAATCCATCCTTTCCAGGAATTGTATATAGCCTCGTTGATGGCCATTATCTGGATATGCAGAAAGTGTTTGTACGTGTCGAACAAGTCAAGTGGCTGGAGTATGTTGCTCCATATGCTGCTGCTACTACTACTGCTGCTAGTGCTTGGTGCGCTGACGGGAGTGACAACCCCGTTTGCCTGATTCATAACAAAGGTGACATTCGCACCTGGATTCATTTCCATATAGTTGATGATGTAGTGCGCCCTCTTAAATTCATCTATGAGGATGCTCCTCGTACAGTAAGTAACATTGTGAGTTGAGTTCATACACGGGAAGGCAGGAGTTATAATCGGCATAACGTGTAACTTATCTTTAATATTCTTCTCGGGATCCCATACAGAAAAATTTCTCAATCCATCTACATGATTGTACTTGTTTATATTTTGTATAAGGACAGGGTACTTCCAATTCCATATAGAATATACCCTAAAAAATTTACATATCAATTGGCTAACATTATAATTAGGATAAAGTTGGCAAATTTTGGCTGTCAGTAATGCCCATGAAATTCCTCCAAGAAATCCTAAAATGTTGCTGTAAATTCCTCTGCTTTTTGCCCATAGTTTTATGTACCGGAGGGTGTTTCTAAAGTGGTCCTTGTGAGGCACAGAGGCTAATATCAAGTCGGCAACTCTTATACCGTTAAGAGACCTTACCGTGACTTCGTCTAAATTTTTTAAAATATAATCATTGTCTAGCGTGTAATAACAATCCTTTAGTGTTCTATATGGCAAGGTTGCTAAAAGCAAGTCAATGTCCACATCATCATACATGAATTGAATTATGGGAGTGTAGGTCTCGGGAAGAGCCTGCAACTTTCGTACATTTTTATCCTGCTGTAATTTTAAGTAGAATTCATTAAAAAATATTTCCCTAGTTATATTTTGAGGTGCTAAAAAAATACAATCAATATCACTGTTAGGGGTTATAACTCCTAATCTGTAGGAGCCAAATGTGTACAGATTCCCGTGTATATGTTTTGCATCTTCTTCATTTATCCCTTGACTTATCGATATGTCCACAACAAATTCGTGAAATAATTTATTAATCATTCCTAGTACCCTTTCCCTCTTCTTTAAAGCATGTTCCGTTTCGTATAAATTGTAACTTTTCAACAATTCCACCACATCATTTGCTTTTTTGAAATCTTGCTCCGTCGGGTAACTAAGAGAAATTGGATCTGACACTCCGTACTTGTACTTTTTGTTTAATTCTCCTTCTATGGCCGATTCGTTATTTAATGTTTCTCTCCTACTTCGGAAGGAGGTGTCTTTCCTACCCACTCCTCTTCCTCCGCCATCCTCCTCCAGACTTTTACTCAGCGCACATTCTATGTTGTAATTCAGGTAGGTGTCTTCATTTTCTTCTTTTATGTCACTTAGCTGCAAAAAATCCTCAATCGATTCTTTGCTTCGCAGGATGAAGTTGCTGCACTCCAGCAAGTTTTCGCTTTCGTAGACGGTATGCATTGGGGCGGCTTTACAGGCAGTCTATCTATGCGGCATAAGCTATATATGTTAGCGATATATCTCAGCGATCTATATGCACAACTCTGCGTCCACGTCAGGGTGGGACGCAAAAAAAGGGCGGACCAGAAAAAAATACTTAAAAAAAAGGGGTGTGAACCCAGGGGGACAGGCATAAGCACTACATTAAAAATCAAACGTGTATCCAAAAAAAGGGGGGAAAAAAAAAAAAAAGCTCTACACAGTGCTTACAGAAATTTGAAGATAACTAAAGTGTGGATGTGGGCAAATAAAAAGTGTCTGCAACCGGTCCACAAAGTAGAACACATATAAACTTAAAAACAAAGGCAAACACTCGAACGAACTCGTACAGAAGGGTTCAAATGAAGATGAGCCTGTTTGAACTTACTGAGCCACATGCATAGTACAAATGGGCAGATAAATGTAACATAAAACAGGGGGCGACTTTTCCGGGGTGGACAGGGAAGCAGCCGCGCGTTCAAATGGTTAGATGGTGTGATAGCTAAAATGATTGGTACATCACGCACAAAAGGTTACGTACATGCATGCGGCACACTGCATAATATGCGCACGCGCAGGCAAGCTCGCCAACGCGCTTAGCTACATGCATGTGCGCATACAATAAACAGACGTGGTGTTTAATTACGCAGGTTACGAAGAAGCCCTTGTTAACGGCGAGCACTTGAAGGATGAAATAAAAAAATTAAATAAAGAATAAAATAAATAAATACAAAATGAGCGACAAATAAAATGCGCGAAGGGGAAAACATCAAAAGCAGCCATGGGCACACGTGCAATGCTTCGTTGGAAAGCGCACCGGCCGACATGGCAACAGCGGTTCCTTATGCTGGTGCCCTCCAAAAAAAAGCGCACGTGCGTGTACAAAACCGCGCATAGGTGCGTGGATGCATATATATATACGTGTACATGTCCACATATGTGTACATATGAAGAGACACATTACAAAGGGTGTATACTCGCATGGGGGGAAAAATGTAAAAAGCCACACAATTTTGCCTTTTGCAAACTGTGCCTCTTACACGTACGTGCGGGCAGTATGTCTGAGCATATGACTTAATAGCGTATGTACATGCAGACACATCGTGTGTCGTACGTTTAGGTGTACTTGGGGAATGTACGCGGACGACATGTATGTGCCCGTGCGTATAAAAAACGCATAACGTAAATCATGAACACAAAAAAAAATGTTTATCTTTGCGTGTGTGTGGGATGTATAACGCAGGCTTAGGCGCAAGGTGGACGAGAAAATTCTCCAGCACCAAAGGTAATCGTTGCGTGTATTTATAAACTGCGCATACGGATGTACCGCAAAGGTAAGGTATTCTATGCTGTTCAGAGGAGGGGCGCCTAAACGGATGGGTTACAGCTACCGATAACACTCATGAAACTGCATTGTCCGGGGGAGGAAAATGAACATGGATGTGTTTTGACTCGCCCTGGCAACAATATTTCCCTCGCGTCGTTGTGTCCATACATAACCTTATGCCTTATATTTTCGGCTAACTGGGTTAAACTATGTGTCCTTTCTTAGGGTTGGTGAAAGTAAAATATATTTCAGTATATATGTTTTGACACTTGTTACATGCATTACTTCATGTGGGACCCAAATAAACAGCTGCACTTGATTAAAAGTTCCACATAAAATATTACGTAGTGGTGTACATGGCGATGTATGGGGGACCATACTCTTTCCCTCCAAACTGCTTATCGTGCTTCGTAATGCATGCAGGCAAATATGTACATATATTAATACAGGTTCCATGTACAAGTAGGCAAGTACACTTAAACAGCGTTTGCACTGTCGTGGACGCAAAAAACGGGGAAATGTATAGGGAGGACGTTAAAATACAGGCCTGCGTCCTTTCTACTTATCAGTGGGGACTCAATGGTACAGAAAAATTTGCATCTGCAACAGGTTCCCTATTTGCCGTATTTACTGTACTCGTTTGGGTGAACTTTATCGCCTTCGCTTTGTTTTCCCTTGGATAAGCACTCTACGCAAACTTCACCGTTGCGCTTGTTCCCCTTTCAGTTTGGTGCGTCAGCTTACGCCCGATCGGGAAAAGAATCACATGCGTTATGTGTGAGCATATGCATGGTCCGTAGCATCTGTAATTATGAGTATGCGCAAGCATTTTTGTGAGTATAACGGGTACGTGTTCCCCCGTTTACTGGTCACTTCGCTTCTAAGCACCGGTAGGTGATTTACCTCTACGACTTGTTTTTGGTGGAAAAAAAGTACATGCGCGCGGGGTATGCAAGATGGTATGCGTGATGCATCGGTGCAGTATACCGTAACGAATGCCTAACGCATACGCAGTATGTACATGGGGCGTTCCAGAGCGCTTTGCAAAAACGAGGAGCATGTGTTCTTTGGTGCACGATCAGCATGTTTGACCTCAAATTATAGCAAATGAACATTTCCGTTTTTTCGACAAAAGAATAATTGGTACAATTCCGTTTCTGCCCATTTTTAGATGGTACAAAATGACAGCGTTCAATGGGTTCAAATGATAATTAGGTGTTCTTGTGGTCGTGCTGTTTAAAATGGTGTCATTGTACTATGTTTGTATTGGCATGCAACGCATGCGCAGTTATCAATGCCGACGTGAGAAGCCCCGCAGCAGGAAACGACAACTTGCGATGCGATAAAAAAAAATATATTGTATGTGTGATTCGATCTTGCTTAATGTTGCCATTTGGCTAAGGACTAACAGAGCACTCCATGATAATGGGGCACATGTGAGTCAACCCATAAACGGGACTTGTAAAATGTGAAACGGGGGAGAGGTTGTGATGCACAGTTTGCATTTTGCTGTCTCAGGAAGACTGGAAATATAAAAACACAATAACTCAATGTTGATGAGCGTACATATGGAGAAGTATAGCGTGCGCAGAATTACACTAGCGTAAAAAGGCCTAACATAAAAAAAGACGAACGTCGGGTGCCCAACTGCGCGCGCAGACTACACGCCTGTGCATGTCACAAAAAATACGGGAGTACCTTGAACAGCTTGAAGCGCCGCGCGTCAAGTTCTTCATCGCGCAAGCGCTGTATATTGTGTTCGATATATTTCCCCTTGTTAACAGCCAGGTAGTTTGACAAAAGGGAAAAGAGAAAAATGCGATTGACATTCTGAAATAAGCAACTAGGGAACATGCCCAAACGCACATTACAGTAATTAATAATTATAAAGGCCAAATAATTTAAGCTTAAAAAATAGTAGGAGACCCATATGTCATAATCAGCCATGCCCATGGAAATAAGTGAGGCTAGCAAAAAGAGGCAGGTATACACGTAGTGAAGATTGTTGACCAAATAGTAACTACCTACTTGTAAACCCAAATAGTAAGCGGAGAAAAAAGAAAACAGCAAAGAATGGAATTTTATGTGGTACTTCAAAATTATATTATATTCCAGATAATTTGAGGAGGCTACTAGGAAGAACGTTAAGAGGACGGAAAAACTAGCCACCACAGCGAAAAATATTTTAGAGGTCTTGGTAAATATTAAGCGGCTCTGTCCAAAATGATTATTTATATGGTTTATATGAAATTTGTTTAAGTGGTAAAAGAAATCAATCGAAATGGTTTTCATTTTTCTTTCTCTATTCATTAATTTAAGGACAATGTGCTTGTAAAATAATTTGTCGTTGAGGAAAAAGGGGACACTTCTTTTGGTAGCTTCTTCCGGTATCCCTATGTTGCTGCTATGTGTGGGTTGTCCATCTTCACGTAAAATATTGTACCTGATTTGGTTCCCGTTTGGGATGTCATGTGTGATGAAATTTTTAGGAATTACAGTTGCACGGAGTTCATTGATCTGCATCAGTTGGTCCACGGTCCTATTGATGTAGCGGCCTTCCCGCACATAGGGGTGGTATGTTCGCCGAGTAAAGAAGCTGACATACGGCCGCGAGAGCCTGGCGCCCCCGGCTGTTAGGAATTTCAATTGGCCAAACCTCATTTGGGTAGCCTCACTGTGGCAGGTGCACGAGCGCGTTCTCATGCGAAAATTTATACCTCCCTCCTACGGGCAAATTAACGCATCCTACTTCGATGTGCCGCAAGGTTGATATCGTACCCTACGAGGTGTTGCTTCGATTGATAGATGAAAGTGCGGGGCACTTTCGACATGTACACAGATATATGCACACGATATGGATGCATAAATATTGAAACGCTAATACATGTGTGTGGCCACGCGCCTACACATGTGTGACTTTTTATGCTGACGAAAATATGGCCCCCTCATGTGGTCTATGTTTGCCGTGTATACACAACATAGTGTGCGTTCTGGCTATGCACATGGCGTGGGGATGACGCAGCAGTGTAGTTGCCTTCGTCTACAGCAACAATATTTGCCCTTACTGTGTTCATTTTGTGGCAGGAAATGGGTGAACATTTATAGAGGGTTCTGTCACTCATTCATGTCCAAGCGCGGGACGCCCCACTTTTCCATGTGCAGGTGCGCATATGGGAACGCGTAGAGTTACATTTGTATATATTTTGTTGTTCTTCAAAGCATGCCCATTTCTACAACCCCTTGCATCCAGAAGTGCACTCAGCGCATATGTACACAACGCTGCTGCGCAATTATCTCCATGCAGCATTTCTCCATACGTACAGACGCGTGCACAATGTAGCTGCTAACCAAATGGACCACAAATCGTTTAGATCATTGTTCCTTTTTATGAAGAGTCAGGTAAAAATGCGATTTCCCGCTGGAACGCGAGAGAAAAAAAAAAAAA